GCGGCGCGGCTGTGGGGGCGAGGGGCGCCGAGGCGTCCGGGGGAGGTGACAAGTACCCGGACAAGGCGGCTCCGGCGGGGCCCGGGCGGGCGGATGCTCCGACCCGCTGCCGCTCGGGTGTGGGAGGCCGTGCTCGGCCGCGGGCGGTGCCGGGCGCGCTCCCCGTGCACACGTGTCCCCGCGGGGTGGGAGCCTGGGGCCAGAGCCCACGGAGCAGAGGCCAGGCCGTGGGGGGCGCACACGTGCAACTCAGCCGGACGCGTGTGGACACGTGCGTGGCTGGAGTCGCCATCGCCTGGCGGGGGATAGCGTGTCCATCTGGAGCCCCATCCGGACCCTCTCCAGCTGGACAGAGGTTTGAGTCGGCCTCCGAGGGGATCCCGCAGCCCACACTCCATGCCTCCTTTGTCGGCAGGTTGGCCCCCACAGACGGCAGGACAGAAAGCGCCTCCCTAGGGGTCTGGGACTTGGGAGGGATTGAACGGGGATCTAGCGGCCAGTCCGGGACTCTGAGCCCAACCCCCCATCACCTTTCTGGGCGGTGGGGGAGCTCAGCGGCTTCATTTGTGGGAGATTTTACCCCTGGGAGGGTCTGGATGCAGCAGCATCGTCCTGTGAGTGGTCTGGGCGGGGGGGGGGGGGGGCACAGCCTGCCTGCGGCCTCAGTTTACCTGGCTGATGAAGTGGAGAGTGGGTGGGACAGTGAGGGCTGACAGCCCTGGGGCCTCAGGCCTGGCTGGGGCTGCAGAGTTTCTATGGCAACATAGGGGGAGGGGGAAGGCCTTCCACAGCTGTCTCATGGGACCACAGTGTGAGGACAGAAAAAGGGGGTTCAGGGTCAGAGGACCTTTTGCCAGTACCCCCCCCCCCCCCGCAGCCAGGTAGCACCCCTTCGATCTCACTTTTCTCAGTCCTGTGACCGACTGTTTTCCTAGGCTTGGGATCTCCCAGCCTGCCTCCCTCTTCCTGGGACAACTGCTCCCCTCCCCCCTTAGGTAGTCTGTCTGACTTCCGAGACCCCCCATCATCCAGGTGTCCCTCCTCAGACAGGAGAGTGGGGTATGGGGATGCTCGGGGAGGCAGGGCTCACTCCGTCAGCAGAGGGCAGGGGAGACCAGAGTGAGGATGGAGACCCTGCCCCCGAGGGCCTGGGGCAGCAGAGAGAGCTGGCCTCCGGCCACTCTACACCTGGAGGGGGTGGTGGGGATGGGAAGGGAGAAGCCATGTGAAGTTCAGAGGTCAGACTCTTCTCTGCAGGCTGGGGAATGGAGAAGCAGGTCCCTGGCACTGAGGCCCTGGGGGGAGGAGGGCAGCTTGGCAGGGAGAGGCCTCTGGGAGAGCCAGTTCCCAAGCCCTGTGGACCTGCCAGGTGAGCTGGCCTGTGGGTGGCAGCCAGTGGCCTCTGAGACAGCCACCCCTTCCCCAGCCTTTCCAGACGCCAGGCGTGTCTTCCTCTGCCCCAGCTTGAGGTTTCCCTGAAGCGCACCTTCTCCCAACAGACACAGAGGTCACACAGACACGAGATGGGCACGGACCCATCTCCACCCCACGGCACTGGATTCCCCACACAGAGGCACACAGGGTGCCCGGGCAGAGAGAGTGCCCCATCCTTGGGTTCCAGGGCCCTAGACAGATCAGCCTGCAGGCTGCTGACAGGAACCCACGGGGCAGCTTTCGGTGAGGTAGCCAGGGGCTAGGGTCCCTGGGGCAGGTGGCTTCGCTTGGCTGGCTCAGCCTGAACCAGACCCACTGCCCGCAGGCTGAGGAAGCTCTGAGGCCAGGCCCTGCCTCCCAGAAGCTGTCATACCCCTCATCCCTTCTCCCACAGCTGCAGGGAGCCTCAGTTGCCCGAAGTGAAAGAGAAAGTCGCTCCCCCCGCACCCCGGACCGCCCCACCCGACAGCCAATCCCTGCGGCTGGCACCTCCCTCGGCCCCTTGATCTCCTCCCCAGTCCGAAGGCTGTAGTCAGTCTGAAGGCTGTAGTGGTGGAAGAGCCAAGTCCTTGCATCTCTGGGTGAGTGGGACCAGGATGGCAGGAGCAGGAGAGGGGGCACAGCCTGGCCGGGGAAAGCCGAGGTGAAGGTCACCAGTCCTTGGAGGGACTGCGGGTGTGAGCCAGCCGTGTGACCCTGGGTGGCAGCGTTGCGGGGGCGAGCTGGTGACAGCTGGCCTCAGAGGGGGCTCCGGGGGAGGCCCCTCACAGCTCTGTTTTTCTGGCTGTGTTCCCCTTGGGAGGCCCCCGAGGCTGGCTTTGGCTCCCCAGCCCTGCACCTAGTGAGAGGGGCCCCTTCTCCTCTCACCCCTAGAGTGGATGGGGGTGCCAACCAGAGGGAGCCTCAGAAGGCCAGCGTCCCTCCTCCCGGCTGTCCCCTCGCCCATGCCCCACACACTCCTACAGCTCCCAGATCCTGGTTGCTGGGCTCCTCTGTGTGGGTGTGTTTGTCTGTCTGGGAGTGAAGTTCTTGGGAGTGGGGAGAGGAGGTTGGACGCAAGGCTGGGTGTGGGTGAGCACGGTGCTTCTGAGGAGAGGGGATGTCTGGAGTCCAGCGTGGAGCTGCTGTGGGAGTGGGGACTGCACCTGAGGCGGCAGCGTCTACCCGGGCAGCCGTGAGCTGAGCCCAGGTGGGGGGTCCTGGGGCGCCAGGGAGGAGCCTGTGAAGAGACTCCGCCATCCTGAAGAGGGCAGGCGCCAGCTGCCTCTGCTCAAGGATAGGGGGTTGCCACAGCCCCAGACCGGGTCGAGGTGCCCCCACTGGCCGATTGGCCCCTGCTGCTGCTGCCCTCAGAGGCGCCTGGCCCTTTAAAGGCTTGGCAGAAGCGTGCGTGTGTGAACGTGTGCGAGGCCAGCCGGGAGGACGCTGCCGTGGGGGGACCTTGAGGGGAAGCCAGGTGGCCCCAGGGATGGGGCCAGTGGCAGACACCTCCCCCCACGCTGCACCCCCAGGACACATTGATGGCCCAGCCGGGCGGTGGGTGAGGGGTTTGGTGGGTGCAGGAGACCTGGGGAGGGGGCTCTGGGGGAAGTGTGTTTCTCTGGTGCGTGGGCCTCTGAGTGGTCTGCCCCACCCCCGCTGATAACAGTCCCTCTTCCCTCTAGGACCAAAGCAGTGGTTTTGAAAATCCCCTGGAAAAAAAAAAAAAATCCCCTGAAAGTGGAGGACCGCCTCTCTTCCCTCTGGCCTCCGTCCTCCCTGTCCTCCAGCAGCACCTCCACCATCTGGCCATCCTCCTCCCCGGCTCCTCCCTGGTCGTGCTGGAGTTAAATGGCTGATAAGCAGATCAGGTCAGAATGCAACCGTGCCCTCGGTCGTTGCCCCATCTCACCCTGCTCCTCTGACCTGTGGCTGAGGAGGCTGGTCCTGACACTCCCTCTGCCCACAGTCTGCCAGCCAAGCTCATCAATGGCGGCATCGCTGGGCTGATCGGGGTCACCTGCGTGTTCCCCATCGACCTGGCCAAGACGAGGCTGCAGAACCAGCAGAATGGCCAGCGCATGTACACCAGCATGTGAGTGTGCCTGGTGTGTGGGGGGGGGCGGTGGTCGTGGGGCCGTGTGATGTGGGGACAGGGTGAGGTGCAGGCTCCAGCGTCCCCTCACCCTGTTTAAGAAAAGGGGAAACTGAGGGGAGGGCTGGCCCCAGCTCACCGCCATCCCCTCGGCTGCAGGTCTGACTGTCTCATCAAGACCATCCGCTCAGAGGGCTACTTCGGCATGTATCGCGGTGAGGCTCAACCCTCGGATGGGCAGGCCTGGGTGGCACCCTCCTGCAGCCTCAGAGGGGTCTGGCAGAGGGGAGCCGGCTGGGAGGCAGGTGGGAAGGCGGGGCAGCGTGTCTGGGCCTGGTGTGTAAGTGGACATGTGGACATGTCCCTGGGGGCTGGCTGCACCTGCACTGGGGGTGGGACGTCTGGGGAATGGCAGTTCTCAGCACCACCTCCCCAAATGGCTCTACTGCGGTGGCTGCAGCCTCCTCCCCTGCCTTCTGGAACAGTCAAGACCCCATCTGTGCTGGGAGGCTGGGAGGGGTGGGGGCGTTACCGCAAAGCGGCTTAGGAGACAATCCCCAAGTCTGGATCTGCCCGAACGCCGTGCAGTGCTGAGCTCTCACCACTGAGGAGGCCTGCAGCTGCCCCCATGGCTCCGACCCACACCAGGCCAGGCGCGGCCAAGGACGCCTGAGTTCTCTCACCTGGCACCCCCTCCAGTGCGAGCACCTTTTGTCCCCCAGGGGAGGTGCTCCTTGGGGAGGCCCACCTGGAGGGATCAAGCGGGAAGGGTGGCAGAGTGCCTGGAGGAGGAGGCGCTGCCCCATCCCTTCCTGGTCCCTGCGCCTGCCTGGCACTAATGTGTGTGAGAGGGCAGGAGGAGGCAGCCAAGGAGTGACTGGAGTCGGGCTCTGCCAGCTGGGAGGCAAGTGCAGGCTGAGAGCCTCCTGAACCGGGCCACTGACCTAGCCGTGCCGCCTGCCCCATGTGCCCCACAGGAGCCGCCGTGAACCTGACCCTTGTCACCCCGGAGAAGGCCATCAAGCTGGCAGCCAACGACTTCTTCCGCTATCACCTCTCCAAGGATGGGTGAGGGGCTTGGGCCTGCCCAGCTGCTGGGGGCCAAGGTCGTGGGGGGGCCGTTTGGTGCCTGCAGGCAAAGCACAAAGGCTCTGCCCTCCTGCGGGCCCTCACCTTGGCCTGCAGAGCCTCCTCTTCCTCCTCCTCCGCCTTCTTCCTCCTCCTCCTCTGCTTTCTTCCTCCTCCTCCTCTGCCTTCCTCCTCCTCCTCTGCCTTCCTCCTCCTCCTCCTCCTCTGCCTTCTTCCTCCTCCTCCTCTGCCTTCCTCCTCCTCTTCTGCCTTCTTCCTCCTCCTTTGCCTTCCTCCTCCTCCTCCTCCTCCTTTGCCTTCCTCCTC